TTCCTCAAACTAAAGCACCATATTGACACTGCTGCGCGCTATAGCACGTAGGATCTTGATTAAAACATAACAAACGCTGATACGAGAAAGATTTCACAAAACCTTTAAAGATCTGCAGCGAATAAGTGAGAGGTTACAACGACTCCACCTCTCACATTCTAATTCTCACGCAAGAGAAGACTGGGACAAAATATACAGGATAACCATGGAGAAGGCTGAACGTGAATTCCAAAGAAGTCGGGTTAAGCAGATTAAGAAATTCGAATCGTTGGACCGCCGCACCCAAAAGAAGAAGAACAACGATTTGCCAATCGAACCAAATGACGACTGTTTCAACCCAACCGATCAAGCTTCCCATTAACAGAGGATGAAACTAAAGTACTCGCCAAAGGCTTACATTATGCAATCGCTTCAATAAGGGTTCCAAAGCAGAAATTATATGTGAAGTGGAAGCGGCGATTTGCAGAATACCTGCAGTGAAAGCAGAAGAAATCCGTCAAGACATAGCGAGAGTGCTTAAAATAGCAAAGCTACCAAAATCAAACATAACAGTGAACGAAAGAAGAGCACTACGAACTGTAAGGTATGACTAATAGTAAATGTTGTTATTAATATTAAGTAGGTTAGGAGTAATAAGGTTATTTAATAAGGTTAATACAACAAACATAACAAGGTTTGTTGTGCTACGTTAACAATAAGTCTAGTATAAGTATAGTGTAATTAATTGCAAGACATATAGTTGAGATAGTTGAAAGAGTGGAGAGAACTTTAATAGAAGTTAAGTACGATACGGACTTTAATTATTAATTGGTTATAATTACTGTAATGTTTTTCCAAATGGACCACAAATAGTCCCTCTTCTTTTGAAAAGAATTATTTTAATGAAAACAACATCACTAAATTTTATAATAATTTGTTTTTTTATTAAGTTGAAAAAAATTTAAATATTTAAACAGAATTGTCGAATTATCTCAGGGTTAAGGCAGGTTCTGGTAATACTGTCAAGACAAACATGTGCACAACTTAAGGTGCAATCAAATTGAGATGTTGTCGACAAAATTAACAAAATATACTGATTATATAAACAAATATTCTAAATTAGTTGATTCGAAGTAATATTTATCAACTCAGATATGTTATGGTCTTAAACAACTCGTCAAATATTAAATTAATTAGGAAATTGTAATCGTAATCTCAAAATTTATATTGAACTTATCAAGAACTTCTCGTATTGNGGCGGGATCTTAATGAAACCGGCGACGTCGGTTCGTATCCGGGTTGAGGTCGGATTTATGTCGTTGGTCCTTATAAAAATAAAGCGCGCTCGGTGTTATCGGATCCGACGCTATACTTCTGTAGGGTGGTAAAGCTGGCGACGACGCCGACGCTTTGCAATAAATAGCCGGTCGCCATTGCGCCGTTACGCTTTGCGGGGGAGCACTAACTTAAAATAAGCGGCCGAGTTAACAACTGGAGTTATATTAATTGATCACGCTAACCGTGTGTTTGCACCGCGACCGAGGTAATGCGCTTGGCGTTACCCTCCATGTGACAGGGTGTAAATTCAATTTTACTAGATCTACGATAAATTGGTTTTGTCAGAATCCTTAACACAAAATCCTTGTCAATTTTCACTTCACCAACTTACCCCTATATCTTTACGCGAAATATCTCAAATTGCATTGTATTTAAATCACGTGATTAATGAATGCAACTTGTTTCTAGTTGTTAGTCTCCATCTTCAGGTGTCAAATTTTATTTTACATAATACGTATTCGAACTTGTTTCTGAAAAAGATTGCAACATGGCATACAACTTAACCCGAATGTTTCTAGTGTTAGTTATAGTTTTAGTTTAATTTACAACACAAGCTATTAAGTGGATTGGCTTTCCTACGTAGATGCAGAGGAAAGGGGGTAACGCCAACCTTCCTCAAACTAAAGCACCATATTGACACTGCTGCGCGCTATAGCACGTAGGATCTTGATTAAAACATAACAAACGCTGATACGAGAAAGATTTCGCAAAACCTTTAAAGATCTGCAGCGAATAAGTGAGAGGTTACAACGACTCCACCTCTCACATTCTAATTCTCTGGCAAGAGAAGACTGGGACAAAATATACAGGATAACCATGGAGAAGGCTGAACGTGAATTCCAAAGAAGTCGGGTTAAGCAAATTAAGAAATTTGAATCATTAGACCGTCGCACCAAAAAGAAGAAGAACAACGATTTGTCACTTGAACCAAATGACTACTGTTTCAACCCAACCGATCAAGCTTCCCATTAACAGAGGAGGAAACTAAAGTACTCACCAAAGGCTTACATTATGCAATCGCTTCAATGCAGATATTATATGTGAAGTGGAAGCGGCGATTTGCAGAATACCTGCAGTGAAAGCAGAAGAAATCCATCAAGACATAGCGAGAGTGCTTAAAATAGCAAAGCTACCAAAATCAAACTTAACCGTGAACGAAAGAAGAGCACTATGAACTGTAAGGTATGACTAATAGTAAATGTTGTTATTAATATTAAGTAGGCTAGGAGTAATAAGGTTATTTAATAAGGTTAATACAACAAACATAACAAGGTTTGTTGTGCTACGTTGCCAATAAGTCTAGTATAAGTATAGTGTAATTAATTATAAGACATATAGTTGAGATAGTTGAAAGAGTAGAGGGAACTTCAATAGAAGTTAAGTACGATACAGACTTTAATTATTAATTGGTTATAATTACCAAATCTTCCCTACACCCAAAAGAAGAACACTTTTTAAGTTTTTACAGAACGATAAGGAAAAAACAGACATTATCGTCCTATCAGCGGACAAGGGGAATGCGACCGTGGTTATAGACAGAAATGAATAGGAGCCTATAACAGCCACCTATAAGAAGATAAAACAGGACCCAACCGAGAAGATAGTAAGGAAGTTGAAAGAACTGGTAAAATGCACAGGAATCCCAGCAGAACAACAAAAAAGCTTATTCGCACAGGTCCCAGTACCCTTAAGGATACATGGATTACGTAAAATCATAAACCAGAGGTCCCACTACTACTTATTGTCAGTGCTATAAATTCTTCCACCTATCAACTAGCAAAATACCGTGCCAAGATTCTGTCTCCTTTTATACATACATAGGTAAAACAGAATCACATGTCAGAGATTTTGTAGAATCAATCAGGAGTATAAAGCTAGACCCTCAGCATATCCTGGTAAGTTTCGGCGTGGAATCTCTATTCACCAGAGTACCAATCAAAGATGTCGTGGATGGTCTTCGCCAGAAACTCATCCCAGAGGATTTGCCAAAGTATGTCCCAGGACTAGTGGAGTACTGCCTATCGTCCAGATATTATAGCTGGAAAGGAGAATTCTACGAGCAATGCGAATGGGCAGCCATGGGATCACGTCTGTCACCTATGATCACCAGTTTTTACATGGAGATGTTTGAAGAGGAAGCATTAAAGAAGAGTCCGTGGAAACCGAAGCTATGAGTCCGTTACGTCGATGACATTTTCGTGATTTGGCAACATGGAAAAGAGTATGACGCCAAATGCGTTAAAAGATTTTAAATCAAAACAAAAAATAACGTAATTTTCAACAAGGACAAAACTAGTTTTATCACCCTGAGATGTACGCGAGTCCTCGACCGGCTCAGTGAAGAAGGGAGGGGTATTTATATGGCGCCATACAGTTAACCCCGCGTACAACACGAACTGTGACGTGAGATGATGGAGTATGGTGATATAAACAAATAACACAACAAAACATAAACGCTCAAAAAAATGGGTTTTGAGTTGCAGACAAAATTTATTAAAACTCCCGTAAATAACAGGTAAGTAAAAAAAAACTAATAACAAAATTATAAAACCGTAAACTTTTAGGTTCAAACAACAAAAAAACTATATTGATGTTTGCGAGCTTTAAAAAAAATGAAAGTCAAAACTGAAAGGAAATTTAAATCAAAATACCAAAAAAATGAAAATGAAAAATTAACCCGCGTCTGACTCCGTATGGTTGAGCTCATCGTGAAATCAAAAATTATTAAAAAAAATCAACGCCAAAAATATAACTAAAAAGAAAAAAAAAACTCGCCAAACAAGAATTTACAAAAAAAAATTGAAATGATATTAAAAAAATTGAAAAGTTTGATGTTCCAATGATTAATTAATTTAAAGATTTTCTTAAGGAAAATCAAAATAATAAAAAAAATATATAAGATACAAATTCTTCAATGACCAAAATAATAACATGTTGTTCTATCTGACTTTTACTCCAAGTCTTGATCACCGGTCCGATTCGAAATAACTCCTCAGCAACAAATTCTGGTGACTCAGGAAAGGTAAGGTAATATTCTTTGTTTTGTTCCAAAAGAATAATTAGAATTCTTAGGATGTAATGGAAATTATACCCTTGGACAATGGTTCCAAAATACCAATAAAAAAAAGGTTGTTCCAATAAGAGAGGCCAAAAGTTGCTCCCCTCAACAAAAACCTGGATATAGAAATTAAAAAAAATGAAACGTGGAAATAAGATTTAAGAATTTTTGTTTGTAGGATAGATTTTCTTTTTAAGTAATTAGTAATTTTTTTTTTAAAGTAGTTAGAAATTTTATTTTTAAAAAGTAGTTAGATTTTTTTGAAAAATAGATTTAGTAGATTGTTAGTTTAAGAATCAAAAGAAAAATGTGAAAGGGTGAACGGATATGCAAAAAACTAATTAATAAAGACCTTATAAAAATGCTTACCTCTGATGTTCGAGGTTTAACCAGAAGACAGAAGAAAATGTAATGAAATACGTTGAAATCCGGAATCTCCGTACAATTTGGTAAAAGAAAAACACTTTTCCAAAACTTTATTTCGAGTGATGAATCCCACAAATATGGATTAGAAACAAAATTTTACACCAAAACCAAAAATGGCGAACCAACCAAAATTTCTTTA